TGGTGATCAGCCTTCTAACATCGTAGAGATCCCAAAAGGATATAAAACATGGGCAAATAATGACCAACAGAGTCATCATTTCTACCCAAATTGTTCTTTCCCATTGAGTTTTGAATCCTATGTTTGCAATGATCTCAATCTAAAGATGGATTGAATCTGTGATGATGTGAGGGCAAGGGGTAACAATGGTAGAGCTGGTTGTGGCATTGGCATCGTGCTGTGGTTTTGTTTTGTGGTCGTACTACTAATAACGGTGGGATTGCGAAAAACTGATAAGAGATAATAAAATCCTTACCAAGTCGAGCAAGACGGTTGACCCAGCGAGGAATAGGCTTCCCCGTCAATCTGGTACACACATCATTACAGAAGTGGTTGCAGTTCTTGGTGATCAGATGGTATGTGTTTCCAGAGTACTCTTCTGCTAGTTTCTCCATAAATGCACGGACCTCCTTGGGGCCTAAATCTGTTCTTCCGATCAAAATTGATTTTCTGAATACGAAGCCAGGACATTGTTTTGGTTCCACTTCAAAAATTCCAGTCGTTGCATGGTCATGCGCTCCAAAAGCATATTCAACACCATGTACTACGGCACATTAAAATAAAAATTTCTTAAGTGAATAAATAAATACAAACATATGTAAGCAGGAGCTTAGATAGACATGTGAGAGAGTCAATAGATAACCATGTCTACCATAAAAATTTAAGTCAATGGATTACATTATGTCCGTGCGGTTGATGATAAACTAAAGAAAAACAATCCCTTTTTTTATACCCGCGATACGAAAATCAGTCGAAATGAGGAAAATTGCTTACAATTGAGTTTATTTGAGACGAAAGGTTTTCACTTTATTACACCAAAAGCATGAAAACTGAATTCAAATTAGCCCAATTGCTTAAAATCACTCTGTTTCTTTATTGTGCAAACCAAAATTTGTGAATCAAAACATTGAGAATCTCTTTGATTCTTCCAAAAAGATGAAACCCAAGTTCAGCTGAGTCGAAATTACACTA